TACTTATTTTTAACGTTTTTGAATTAGATACGTTCCATGAATTTGACACTATTCATTAGAACATAATTTAATTCTTAACTTATGTGAATATTAAGTAAAACTAATACGGGTATATATAAATATATATATATATATATATATATATATAATATATATGTATATATATATATATATATATATCTATATATAGGGTGGGTCCTTAAAATGGTCATTTTCGAATTTCTTGCTCCAGGGGCTCAAATGGTTCCAAATTGATAAAAAACAATTCTCTGAAAGTTTAGCTCTTAATATTAACGTTTAGATAGAGCGCAATTCAATCAAAGTTTGTATGGGAAGAGCATGGAAAAAATTTTGAAAATTAAAAAAAAAATGTTTTAGGTATTACTTAGCGACAAATGAATGAGTTTTATTCATTCATTTGTTCGCTAATTACATCTAAAAAACATTTTTAAAATTTTTGAAATTTTTTTCATGCTATTTCTATACAAAACTTTCATTGAATTGCGCTCTATCTAAACGTTAATATTAAGAGCTAAAACTTTCGGAGAATTGTTTTTTATCTATTTGGAACCATTTGAGCCCCTGGGAGCAAGGAAATTCGAAAATGACCATTTTAAAAACCACACTAATATATATATATATATATATCTTGATAGTTTATTCGACGTTGAAACATATTTCAAAAGTAACTAGCAGCCCATTCGTCGAAATAAAAAAGGTATAAAGTATAAAAACTTTTATTTATACGTTTCGACACAAGATGCGTGTCATCATTCAGCAACACAGGACAAAAACACTCAACAAAAATTTATTTTAAAAAATTAACTTAATAACATATTAGATAAAAACATTTTTTTAGAAAAAATTATGAAAACTAAAAGATTTGAAAACTATTTAACTAAAAGTTATGAAATGCATCATTGTGAGCGAGAAACACGCCCATACCGAGTAACCAAACTCGACTGTTTTTATACTTTATACCTTTTTTATTTCGACGAATGGGCTGCTAGTTACTTTTGAAATATATATATATATATATATATATATATATATATATATATATTAGATCCTTTTCTAAAGATCATACATTGATCTAGATTCCGTGATCATCCTACAAATGCATTCCGTATTCCCGTTATATTAAATATTTGCATATATATACATATATATATATATATATATATATATATATATATATATATATATATATATATATTTATATCTTATATATAAAATTCTTCTGTACGGGTGTATGATTTGATACTTCTCCCAAACGGTTATTCGGATGTTAATAATTCTTTTTAGAGTTTGTCAAAGGAAATTTTTAAGATTTAACGAACGATAAAACTATAGTAATATTGTAGAAATAAATGGCAAAAATTACAAGAAACCACTCATCATTGTTTGACATTGAAAACATTTAAACTGTCATCTTCTAAAAATGTCGTTTCGCTTGAAGTTTGAATTTAGCTGAAATTATGAGCCTAGATAATACTCGAATATAATAAGCAAGAAAAATGTAATGTGTACATTATTATTGCCGAAAAGCAGCTGAGATGTGCCAGAAATTGAAATAATATGAGATACAGTCAACAGTATATGTTTGGAAGATGAAATTGTATAATTCAGTTTAATAAATAACGCAACAAGTCCAAAATGTCTACATTATTATTGCTGAAAAGCAGCTGAAATGTGCCAGAAAGTAAAATAATATAAGATACAGTCAATAGTATATGTTTGGCAGATGAATTATATAATTCAGTTTAATAAATAACGTAGTAAGTCCAAAATTGCATATACATTATTTTTAAACTTATGCATTTCGCATTTTAGTTTACTTTACTAAATTATTTGACAATGCGAAAAAATATTTATACTTGATAAAAAAAGATTTAGAATTGTGTTTCATGTGTCAAAAAATTTCTTGTTTGGCATTGGATGACATTTGTAGTTTTTTTTCCTAATATTGATTTGTCTTTTGGAAAAAAAAAATTCCCTTTTGCTTAATTTCAAAGCAATTTCAAAATTTAGAATACATACAGATAATAATTACACAAATTTTCGAAATTACAATTACACTTGGGTTTAATATACGCTGGGATTTTTTTTGCATTTGTTATTTTATTTCTTCTAATTTTAAAATTTATCTATGTTTTATTTAATAATTAAATTTTGTAGTCCATTTAATTATTTTCTTTAATTTTTCATTTTTCGCTTTAATTTTTCACAATTTTCGCATTGTATGAATAAATTATGTAAAAAAATCCAGAAACCAGAAATTTTGTGCTGTTTTTGTCATTTTCTCTGAACGTTGAAATTTGTTTTATTTTTT